AACACCAGGCAGAACGGGACTGAGGAGCTGGCACTGTGTTCCCAACCTGGTCTTTCAAAGTTTTCTCCAAGCCCTCCACAAGTGGTTTAGTTATGGGAGGAGACCTTCGTGCTCAGGTAGGACCAGCCTGCAGGCAGCAGGCTGTGGGATGAGCCTTACCCACTGCATCTGAGCTGGGTGCAACCTTGGTGTGGCCTCTGCCAGCCCTGGAGAGTGGAGCTGAGCTGATCTCTGCCATCCTGGTGCTGTAGGAGCTGCGACACCAAAGTTAACCCTACGTAGGAAGGGGTCAGAATAAAACCCCAGGCTTCAAAATCACCTGTAGTCCCTCCAGGGTCTTTTGCTCAGCTCTCAGAAGAGAAGGAATTCAGGAGTTAATGACCTGCAGCTCTCGAAAGCAGCCTGTTGCCCACTGCTGCATGATCACTGCTGTTATTTTCATGCTACCCTCAATCACTTTGTTTTTTCTTTTTAAATACAATGCATTTATTAAAGACTTCCCCACAGCTGAGTTCCCCAGTCCTCTCTGCTTTGTTTACTAGGAAAGACCGCTGCCTTTCTGGAGGGCTGTGTTAACTTCTGATGCCTGAATACTATTCTGCAAGCAAATATATCCCATTGGTCCAGCCTCAGCACCAGACAGTTAATGGTGAGGCCAGACCGGTGGGAAAATCAGCCGTACTCTGTAAGAAATTTTCTCATTCAAACCCCTCCATCAGACTGTGACCAAAAAGCAAAAGAGCTGGGAAAAGCTCGGGTCTCCAATTACTCTCTTCAAAAGGGAAAGAAAAATTGGAACGGGATCGTTCTCCTCCTGTGCCGCGGTTTTCATTGTGCTGTAATGATACAGCCTGGCCGTCATCCACTCCCTCCTTCTCGCCTTGCAGCTCCCTCCCCGAACAAACGATACTTGGTTGCTGTTAATTGGGAGCAGCCAAAATAACTGAATCCCCCGGAGATGGGGCTTGGGACAGAATCTCAACGAGAAGCCCTGCCGATGAATGTGGCTTTCAGCCGCTCCTACGCCCCCGTGAAGGGAAAAGAATAGGGGCTCTGTGAAAGCGAAACAGCCAGTGCTGACCTTGGGTTTCTGGGTTGGTTTTTTTTTTCCTTTCTCTCTCTTTTCTAGCATTAATCGCTTGTCGCTTTGTCCATCACATGATCTCTGGAAATTGCCAATTTGTTCTCACTCATTAATGTCACAAGTTCAGTTTAAAATAAGCAGTCTACCAGGTTCCCGATTTAGCGCTGTTTGTCTGAGTATCAGATGTGTTTCTTGTGATTTCAGACTATTATTTTGAAAATCTTCAACCCTCCCTCGTTAAAAACTGGCATTTTCCAGCTATGAAAGCCTGCCTGAAAGAATCTCTCCTGCCTGCTGCTGTCAGGGAGGTCTGCAGCGCCTAACCTCTCCCCAGCTCTGCTCAGAGGCGACACTCGCTGTACACACTGAGCTCTCGGGATGAGAGACCGTGGCAGAGTCCTGGCGCTGGCACGCACTGTACAAGCTGGAGCCAGCCTGTGCCTGGTACAGAAGCTGCCTGTCTCTCCCGTATCCTTGTCAGCGCGCAGAGCAGGCACACCACGGGTGGTGGAAGGGGCGATGCGCCCCTCACGTCGGCGTACATCCTTCTGCCCAGGCTTGGCTGCTGTCTGCCCGTCTGTCTTCTGGTTGCCTTTGCTCTTCACGGGCAGGTTTCAGTGTATTGCTGCATTGCAGGCGATGAGCGCGGCGACCCTGCTCCTGTGCAGCTCACCTGCCCAGTCTGTGCTGTATCTGAGCTCCCTGATGTCCTGGGGTCCATGCTGGCATTAGTCTGTGTTCTCCAAGAGGTGGGGAGCTTCAGCATACCCTTTCTCCTTGTGCCTTGCCACCATGATTCCCATCTCCAGCATCAGTGCCTGAATACCTTTTTGGAGGGTTTTCCAGCATCCTGCTGGGATGAACTGGGACAAAGATTCAGCGCTGAGACCCTGCAGTGGGCCCAAATCCTTGGACCACACTTAAAGGGAAGCTGGGTGATGGTGAGCGGGGTCCTCTTGCTTTGGGTTGTATCCGAGTGAACGCTGGGAGAGGTATAAAGCACATTAAGGCAGGTTAACGGACAGGGCAGAGGAGCTAAGGACACACAAAGCACTTCAGAGTCCGTACTCATACCTCTGCACAGGGCAAAACCTTTGCAGAAGGCCTGGAGATCATGAGATATCTTGGGGAAGCAGCAAAGGAGATGCAGCCAATGTGGGAAGGGAGCGCTCTCGTCTGAGCATCTAGACCAGGAAATCAGACACTGCCTTAGTACAGACACATCCATAAAACTCCCTGTCCTTCCCAGCCCAACGTGCTCAGCCTCCAGCCAAGTTCTGTCCAGACCATCCAAAGGAGATGCAGGGCAACAGAGGGCGAGTACTGCAGTGCTGCATAGCCAGGGATGGTCTTCTTGCCTGGGCTTTTCCTTATCCTGAAGCTGAGGTCTAGAGTAAGTGGAGTGAATGAGCCCTTCTCTCTCACAGAATCACAGAATGTTCAGGGTTGGAAGGGACCTCTATGGGTCATCTAGTCCAACTTGTGCCCATTGCCCCTTGTCCTGTCGCTGCGCACCACTGAAGAGCCTGGCCCCATCCTCCTGACACCCACCCTTGAGATATTTGTAAGCATTTATTAGGTCCTCTCTCAGCCTTCTCTTCTTCAGGCTGAACAAGCCCAGCTTCCTCAGCCTCTGCATCGGCTACCAGGAGCCAGGATAGACTGGCTGTACATTAGAACTGGGGAGAGGGAGCATTGCCCCTTTTCCACACCATCCCCTCACAGCAGTGCCCCAGAGTCAAAATTTGCCGTGTTTCCCTAAATTTCGGCATATATCCCCACAGGGATACACAAGCTGCTGAATGAACTGTGTGTCCCCATCACAGATCCGGACCCCGCAGACCCTTAGGAGAGAAACAGAAGTCTCTGTGAACGCGCACGTCAAACACCCCAACAAGGGTGCTATCTTCAGTCTGCTACATCTCTGAAACTAAAATACCATTTGCAGGGACCATATTTCCTCCCGCCTTTGGTGGCTAAGGCAGCTCCATCGAACGCAGCAGCCGGGTTCCCCTGTGGCAGACAAGTCATAAAAAAAACCCCCAGCCCTGAGAGGTGCTAAGGGAGAAAGCCTGGAAAGTGCAGAGAGAGAGAGAATTGGCTGGAAACTGTAACTCTTAGTTATGACAGCTGCCATCTGCTAGAATAAGGAAGCAACGTGAAAATATTTTGTCTGTTATCAGAGGCTGTGGGTTGCGAGAGGAAGTGGGACTTGCCACCTGGTTCAGAGTCTGCTCTGACTTTGCTCTTTGTGCTGTCTTGCCCTGGGGCTGTTTGACGGGTCCCATCTCCCTGCTTTCACTCTCTCTCCGTGTTCAGCACCCGTCCTCTGTATCTCCAGCCTTGTGTGGGTCTCCCGTCATGTGCCCACGCAAACTATTCGTCCGTCTCACCTCTGGCAGCAGCTGGCATCTGATGCAACAGAAGGAAAATAAGCCGTTTCCCACGCTCGCTTAGGCAAAATACTGCTTTGCATTTACTTGGTTTTGGCCATCTCCATCCACTGCAGCTCTGGTTGGGTGCATATAAGCTTAGGGGTCAGGCCCCAGTCCCGCAGACCTGTGTGTGCTGGCTGCGCAGGGGTGACCACAGCCCTGCAGAGTCTGGTGGGGCTCCGTCACCATCAATTTCAGTTCAGTCGTGGACATCTGTGTTCTCTCAGCTGAGTTCTTCTCTTTTTTTGTGTGGCATAAACACCAGCAGAGAAGAGAAATATCTAGGGTGGAAGGGAAACAGAGGGTATTGGGAGTGAATTCAGTGCTGTGAGGTAGTCTCCAGACGTTAGCATGCTGCTGTGCCCTGAATCTGAATCTTTCCAGCCAGAGCTTAGCAACTCTAGAGGCTGCCAAGGAGCGGAGCAGAGCAGGCAGAGGAGTGCCCAGCACTGGGGTTTGGCTGCTCTCAGCATCCAGGCACATCTCCTCTGGCAGCCCCTCAGCGCGGCTCCGTGGATGCTCCCAGGGCTTCGACGCCATACCCAAAGTGCAGCCAGCTCTGATGCGCAGCCTCTCGTTTCTCCTTCACCTTCCAGTCCTGCTGCTTCTTGCACGTGGAGGGATGAGGGCCGCAGGTTTGGGACCGTGGACTTCTCCCCTTCTCCCTCTGCCCCACTCACTGCAGCAGCCCCAGGCGTGCAACCCATGTATGAGTTGTGTGGCAGGGAAGCCAGGCTCATTCGCCACCTCCTCGATTTGGTTGGGACCCTCTTCAGTCGGGTGCAGAAAGCCAGGTTATCCCTTAGATAAGCAATTTCACCCTAAGCTTGCCGCTGAGCGGTTTGTTCTGTGGAAAGTGGTGAAAAATCCCCTCTGCTAATCATCAGGTGCTTTCCTGACATCTGACTGCTGCTTGCATCCCCTTACTGGCAGCTCCTGGCTACTCCTAAACATGCTCCAAGCTGAGTGCCCGAGGAGGCAGGGAAGAAGGCAGGCTTGTGACATTGCTGTGCCCATCTGACGTAGGCTGAACTGCAGGGACAGGGCTGTGCCGTACTTCTCCGAGAACTTCTTCACTCTGAGGGTGATGGAGCACTGGAACAGGCTGCCCAGGGAGGTTGTGGAGTCTCCTTCTCTGGAGATATTCAAGACCCGCCTGGACAAGGTCCTGTGCAGCCTGCTGTAGGTGACCCTGCTTCGGCAGGAGGGTTGGACTAGATGACCCACAGAGGGCCCTTCCAACCCCTAACTTTCTGTGATTCTGTGATTCTGTGATTCTGTGAATTGAGGTCTGCCAAGTCAAGGAACGCCCCTTCCCTGTAAGTGCAGGGCCAGCGTCTCACTAGCTCATCTCACCCAGGAACGGCAGCACGCTCTTCTCCCCAACGCAGCACCATTAACGTTTCTTCTTGCTCCCCTCCTCGCAGGGCACAAAGACAACACTCCCCAGCGCCGGGCTCGCAGCCGCCGCACGCAGCGAGATGACAGCCATCCTGGAGCGGATCAGCACGCTGTCCCTCAGCGGGCAGCATCTCAGCCGCCTCCCCAGGCTGCTGGAGGATGGCTTCCCCCAGATGCCTTGCACAGTCAAAGAGTGTGAGGTGCCGCAGCTCTTCCGTGAGCCGTACATCCACACCGGCTACCGTCCCACCGGCCAGGACTGGCGGTACTACTTCCTTAGCCTCTTCCAGAAGCACAACGAGGTGGTCAACGTGTGGACTCATCTCCTGGCAGCGCTGGCCGTGCTGCTGAGATTCAAGACGTTTGTGGAGGCTGAGCAGCTACCCGTGGACGCGTGGTCCTTGCCTTTGCTCATCTTTGTCCTCTCCTCTGTCACCTACCTGACCTGCAGCCTCTTGGCCCACCTACTGCAGTCCAAATCTGAGCTGTACCACTACACGTTCTACTTTGTGGACTACGTTGGAGTCAGCATCTACCAGTATGGCAGTGCCCTGGCCCATTTCTATTACAGCTCCGACCAAGCCTGGTACGACAAGTTCTGGCTTTTCTTCCTGCCGGCAGCTGCTTTCTGTGGTTGGCTCTCTTGTGCCGGCTGCTGCTACGCGAAATATCGGTACCGACGGCCTTACCCCATCATGAGGAAGATGTGCCAGGTGATCCCAGCCGGGCTGGCGTTCATCTTGGATATCAGTCCTGTGGCTCACCGGGTGGTTGTGTGTCACCTGGGGGGCTGTGAGGAAGATGCTGCTTGGTACCACACGTACCAGATACTGTTTTTCCTTATCAGTGCATATTTCTTCTCCTGCCCGGTCCCTGAGAAGTACTTCCCTGGCTCCTGTGATATCGTTGGCCATGCCCACCAGATCTTCCACACCTTCCTGGCCATCTGCACCCTATCACAGCTGGAGGCCATTCTTCTGGATTACAAGAACAGGCAGGAGATTTTCCTGAAGAGACATGGGCCTTTCTCCATTTATCTCTCCTGCATCTCTTTTTTTGGCCTGGTGGCTTGTAGTGCCATCACAGCTTACGTCCTGCGATGCAGGATCAAGGCCAGCCTGGCTAAAAAGGACTCCTGAGAGTCACGAATGTGATGGGTGTGGCATCACCAAGGTGGTGAAAAATCAAGAAAAGGGGCATAACATGTTAGAGACATAACGGGCTTATTTGCTTAACACACTGTGACTAACCTGGACCCTGGACTCAGGTGGAGGGCTGGAGACTTCGTGCTGGACACATTTTCACAGCAGGGGCTGCTTTTTGCCATCCTGGGAGATATGGGGTGTTTTAAGCCAGAACAAGTCGTTTAACCAAGGATGCTGGAATAGGCAGAGGTTTCTTGTTCATTCTGATAAACCTGTGGGTGATATCTTGCTAAATGTCAGGGAGGGCACCCTAAAGGCTGTGAGACTGTAGAAGGGTCTGCCAGGGCTCAGAGAGCAGTGGAGAACGCACCATGAGGACCACAGCTGGATGTGATGACCTATCTGGGTTTTGCCATCTCTGCTTCTCTGTGGGAGACCTGTTACTACCAAAGGCAGTAGCAAGGTTTCAGGAGGAGTCCACATTTCAAGGGTTCAGCTGCAAAGGCTTGTGGCACTGTGGCTGGTATAAACCTTTTCCTGCTCCGGCTGGGCTAAGCCAGGTTCTCTCTATGGTCCCCCTGTCAGGTATCTCAATGCCAGGTTGCTGAGGTGGCTTTGACAAAGCAAGTTTGGAGACTTAGGCCTGACCTGGGGTTTTCTAGGATGAACTGGGTCTGAACCTGAGCACCATGTCTGCCGGTGACTGGTGTGGGTCCAGCACAGGTGGAGATGTTAGGTCAGCCCCATCTTCTCTTTCTGCATGACCGCACCATCTGCAGTGGAGTTGCTCAGCAAAGCCAGGGAATCAGACTGTCCCAAGGATTACTACCAGGAGATGGGGTCTTTCTCCATGGTTTGAATTTGACATGAGGTAACGGCAGTGCTGACAGCTGCTCGGTAGCCTACAAGACAGGTCTTCAAAGGCTCCTCATTTCCGTTTTAAGTGTTAGTTGCCTTTGAGGAGCTGGGCCTGAGTCAGGTTGGGGATGGATTTGAGCCTTTCTCAGTGGCAGAGGTTGAGCATCCCTGAGGCCATCAGCCTTCAGGGTGCTAGCCCCAGTGGGTGCATCATTTCAGCGGGTAGAGTGACAGGTTCATGCAGTCCTGCATAGGCTTGTCGCTGCATCCTCTGTCTAGGGAGTCTGACTGACCTCCACCGCTGTCCATGCAGCGTAGAGTAACTTGGGTGTGATCTGTCTGATACGGGAAAGGCGGTGGGCCTTGGGCCTCCAACAGTCCTATTATGGTCATGGCCAAAAGGGTATGAAAGTGAAGCAGTCTTTATTCCCCTCTTGATAGTGCTTTTCAGGATACCAAGCAGTCCTTGGTGGGCCTCGTGGGACAGCTGACCTTGAAGCTGCAGGCTTGCTTTTCTCTGACCAGTGGGGTTGTGAATCTGGCACGTTTTTTTCAGGACTAGATGAAGGTGGAACAGCAGAAGGCAGGAGCAGGGTGGCAGCATTAGGGTCCTACGCAACGTTGGGATGGGTTTGTGCTTGAGACTTGGCGATTCCTGTGCAGAGTAGCAAAGATAGTGGTCAGGGACACTCGATGCCCATGGGTCACTCCTGTCCAAGGTGTAGCGAGGGTTGGTTTAGTGTGTCCCCCACTGGATGAGTCTCTTCTGTGTTTGCCTGGGGGGGAATATCAGATACAGAGCCACGCTGTTGCACTGAAGTTGGTAGCACTTGCGGGACAGGATGCTCAGAGCCAATGCAGAGATACGGTCCCGTTCAGCCTAGACACTTTCTGTTTGACCCACTGCTTGCTTTCCATGGTGAACCCTGGCACGGCTCCTCCGAGCTGTACACTATGCAAGACCTGCAGCCTCAAATGCCTTGACATCTGGCAGATTCCTAGGAGGTATAAATCTTTGCTGACAGCAGGGAAGCCATGGGATCTGTTCCAGCCACAGATTTGTCTCCCTGAATCCAAGGGCAGGCAAATAAATTGTGATTGCTGGTTCTGAGCAGGCAGAGCTAAGGGTTGGGGATATGATTTGTCACGACAAGCACTGATTTCTGCACTTGATCTCTTTTTTAACTATTGGGATGTGTGTGTGTTGGTGTATGTGTGTGCACGCATGATTTATTATCCAGAAGGGCTTTGCCTTTGGCTTTTATATCTGCAGAGCCTCCTAGCTGGGTCAAGATTAGCCTGAAGGAAACAGTGCTGTGCTGCTGGAGAAGCAAGGTGGGCCAGACAACAATGTCTCTGAAAACAGATCTGTTAATAGGTTCTTGGCTGTGTCCTGTATTTTGTGGACAAATTTGAAGCTCATGGCCCTATGGACAAATCAAATACAAAGGGGGAAGGAAGTAAGTTTTGAGTACAGGAGGAGAAATCATAGGAAAGCCTTCAGGAAGTCATGTAGTCCACCCTTTCTCATCACTCTAGGCCTCCTGGTTTACGTCCAGTCCAGCTTAGAAATTAATTATTTCATTTCCTATGGTGTATTTTGACGGTACAACCATGCTGACCTATCAGTAAATTTGCCTCAGGGGAGTGGCAAGTGGGGACCTACGCAACGCTGGGATGGGTTTGTGCTGGAGACAATTTGTCTCGTCATTCCCCTTCCCTTGCACAGAAGCTCATCTGACCACAGAGCGAGCCAGTGCCGGGAGACGGACCAGCGGAAAACCAATCCTACTGAAAAAATGTCAGTAATTTTCTGCTGGTTTTAACTTTCAGCCATCTCACTTGGACAGCACTGCTGCCTGCAGGGAAGGGCCGGAGCAGAAGCCAGCAGCTGGTTGCTCAACTAGCTTAGCTGCACCAATGGACTGCTCCCTCCATGGTCTCCGTGGCTTTGCTGCTGGGTCTCCTCCCGGTTTGGGGAAAGACTTCCAGTGGGAGCTGTGCTTTTTCTCATAGCCTAATTTGCCTTGCTTTCATGGTAGGGGAAGGAAAAAAAGGC